CACTGCCATTGAGTCGATGCTGACTCATAGCAACCCCCTGCGGGTTTCCAAGACCATAATGGCATACAGAAGCAGAAAACCCAGTCTTTCTCCTGTACGGCTGCTGGTGGTTCCGAACTGCTGAGTACATCACCAGGGCTCCTTAAAACAGAATTAGGCATGGTTTAAAAGAAAAAGGAGCCTGATGCCACTTGGTCCATCTTCCTGCTGTCAGACAGAACCAGACGTGTATTTTTCCTTTAAAATGTTTAGAAAGAGACTTAACTACTTTGAGCTTAACTGTTAAGTTAGCATCCCTCAGGTCATACCTTTATGTGAGATCAAGCATGAAATCTCCTCTCTACTCCTTTCCTGTAGTTTAAGATGAAAATCTGCCCTCTGGGAAAATGAGAGCCGATCATGGTCATTCTCTAAAGCTGGTACAGCTCCCTTGATATGAAGGCAAACCAGAAAATCAGAAGGGAAAGAGACTAAGGTAAAGAAAGAAGCAAAGCTGAGGAGTTGCCAAGCCGTCTACAAGTCAACCTGTAAGCACTTCCTGAGCCACCTCCACTGTGCCAGAGACCCCACAAGGTGCTTTGTGGAGAATGCCTTCGCCGCCTGCATGGGAGGGAGGAATTACTGTTATCCCCATACATTTGGCTGCCTTCTCTAGACAAGCACAACTAGTGACACATATATTTATAGAGAGAAGTTTAAATCAAGAAAAATGACTCACATTTTTCTGAGTTACTGAAGTAGTGAAGGCCAGTTTGGTTGTCAGCTTGAAAGCCAGAGATTTTTCCTGACTCGTGTGGCTGCTTGGGGCTGGGAAACCAGGAAGCCAGGAGGTCAAAGGCTTGTGGATGTAGAGATTGGTCAGCAAATCAAATGTTATGGAAAGCCGCCTATAGCTCCCAGGATTGGCAAGCAATATTTCAGGCTACTGGCACACAGTCCCAGAGATCAGACACAGGATCCAGGCCAACAGGAAGGAGAAAGGAGGCAGAGCCAGGCCTCCACCGTCTATTCATAGATATGAAATAGGCCATGAAGTTGTCACAGAACCTATCATGTCTATACCTTGTCAACTGGGCGCCTGCACACATCTCTTTAACCATACATAATCCCCAAACAAAAACAATAATAAAACAATACCTGCTCATAACACAATACAGCTAATGACACATACAAACGTATGAACGAAGACACACTAAGCCCATTTACATATTATATTTTATAAATGAACAAGGCAAATTATTTGATACATACATATAAAGAGGAGGTACGAATAACAAATGTAGTCCGTAGTTCTACAACTGATCTTGTGACTGTAGCCGGTGTTTAGAACGACCTTCTTTCATTACCCATTCCATATTCTCCTTTGCCTCAGCAAGCACCTCAGCTGGTCACGGTGCTCTACCCAGTGGGTGATCCACACCTTCCTCCTTGGAGGGTCTGGGCCATTAATAGTCACGGCAGAATGGGGTTGCTGTAGTTTACCATTCACTTTTATCACAGACCACGGGAGTACTAAGAGATGACCTACAGAATCTCCTAGATTCCAGACAAGTTCTTCTTTACCTCCGTTATTTAACACCAGTCCAATTGGTAGTCCAGATCAAGCACGCCACTCAATAAAGGAACACCCTTCTCTGTCTGATGACCTAGAAACACAGGAGATCAAAATGGCCAGGGGCATTCTTAACTGCCAGTTCAAGAGAATCAGTGTTGTGTCCTAAGACAGGAGTGCTCCTCCCTTTGGATCTAGGGCCTCCACACACGAAGACCATAGGGTCACAGAGACAGGAAGCAAGATGTTCCCAGTAGGTCATGAGGAATAACGGTGAGCTAGTGACCTTCCCATCTCCACTACTTGGTTCCTGGACTCATGAATCCTGGCTATTGGAGTAACAGAACCATATATCAGACACTGGTTTAGAACATATACGTCCTCCTAGAGATGATCACTTCAACCCTGCAAGGTATTGCCACCTAGTGGGTGTCATACTTGTATCTTTAGAAGGCCATTCGATCATTCTACCTTGAGCCTTGATCCACTACACTTCATTTTCTGTGAAGTGAGTCCCTTGATCTGAGGCAAAGCTGTGTGGAATACCATGTCAACCGATGAGATAGTCTCTACGTCCATGAATGTAGTTTTGGCAGAAGCATTGTATGCAGAGAAGGCAAATTTGTATCCAGTATAATTGTCTATCCTACTACCCTGTTTCCCCCAAAGTAAGACATCCCCCGAAAATAAGACCTACTTACAGTTTTGCCTCTCACTGAAATATATGGCATCCCCCCAAAAACAAGGCCTCCCCCCCCAAAGCTACCATAACTCTGGACCGTAGCAGCGGACACCGCCTTGCAGCTCACTGTTGGCTGCAGCACAGCTGGAGTAGACAGGAAGTGCGAGGTCTCTTTTAATAAAACAATAAATGTGTACCGTATTCTTCTTCATGGAAAAATAAGACATCCCCTGAAAATAAGACCTAGCA